TTTCAAATCAATTTAAGCCATTCTAAAATCACAAATTCGTTTAAATTAATGCGGTAGGAAATTAAGAACGATTAACTATATTGTCTCGACATGGAAACAATATTTCTCGCACATAAGAGGCTGAAAACTATAGGATATCGTCAGACAATAATTTGGCCTCTTTTCGTTGTTTTTATCATTACAATTCATCCTCCGCCTCAGCAGACTAGGAGTTATCTTCTAAAACTCGTCTAAGAAATCCTTCTCATTTAATTTCATACAAAGACAAGGCCTCAAGTTTCCGTTATCGACAGAGCAAAAAATATTAAATGTTGTAATAGAGACCGGAGATATGCATAATAATATCTTTTGAAAGCATAAAGCAAAGTAACATACACATGTTCTTTTGCATATCGTAATATATTTGATGAAATATTTTTCCGTTTCGTTTGTAAAATAGAATAAGATCATACGTTGGCAAATTTTGTGTCTTCTCATATCAATTCGCCGTTACTTTTACGAATTCGCAGAATGCGAATTGATATCAAGGACAAGAAATTGTTCTATGAGGTTAAGAAAACAAAGAATCGTCTCTTCGCTTCAATTTGTTCAATTCTTTCGTCAATTCGTCGATAGTTTTTCGCGAAAGAAAATAGAGAGGAATCTCTCTCCTTTTTGTGTGCATGCGCGGAGGGCGGGAGGCATATTTATTATTTACACAACAAGCCAAACGTGTTTGGTTGTATTTTAGTCACTTTTTTACGAATTCGTAAAAATAACGTCAAATTGAGGTGAGAGGTATGCGAACCGATGCGAAAGACGAATATACGTATGTTTAACCTCACATAAATGCTTCTTGTCCTTGACATCAATTCGTATTTTATGAGTTCGTAAAAATAACGGCGAGTTGAGGTGAGAACTATGCGAATCAATGCGAAGAGACGATTCGGACTTTTCTTAACCTGAGAGAAATGTGTCTTGGCCTTGACATCAATTCGTCAAGCATATCCGGCAAATTCATAAATAGAAGGCGTAAATTCGCATTTTACGAATTCATAAAAACAGCGGCGAATTGATATTAGAAGTGTCCATTTTCAACCGCTGGATCAGTTCGCAATACGAATTCGCTAAGTCGTATTTATGAATTAATCTAGTTCTAAAACCAGTGAACACGAATTCGTAAACTAATTTTACGAATTATTTGTGAATTGACTAGCATCATGTTTGATCTATTCGGATGTTTACGAATTCGTGATATGAATTCGTAAAAGTTTCTAGGAGTATCTGTACGAATTCGATGCAGTCGCACCAATTCGCGGCGAATTCTCAAAATAAACGTAAAATGCGAATTGTGACATCATTTTTACGCTTAAAAATTGCGATTCGTCAATTCGTGTTTAGACACTTTATCCACACAGCTCCTTGCAATCACATAGTGAGCTCAGCTTGAATATCGAATCTCTTTGACTTAATATTTTTCCTGCAAATGGAAAGTGAAAACAATTTAATTTTACAATTGGGCTGGAGATTCAGAATCTTTCGAGTGTATCAAATAAGCGCTTTATTACAAACGGTATGAGATCAAAATACTTAGCAACAAGTAAACATTATCGAATACAAATACAGTACTAGCGCTTGCTTTATGTTTGTCTTGTTATATTATCTTTTACTCGTTTAGATGAGAAACCTGTGTGTATGGCTGGAAGATGAAGATTGGTCTGTCGTTCTAACTGTGAGAGTAAGATCTAGAAGAAAAAGAAAGTGTATGCCAAAAATAAAAACCAAAAACCCTGACATGGAGCTTTAATTAATCACTTATTACAGTTTAACTTACTTCAGCATTTCGAACACGTTGTGTATAAATGGCTGTTTCATGTTGTATTTCTTTCCAGCGTTTATCTAGTTTGACATAGTCCATAATTGTGGGAAGACATTTTATGTCTGATAAATTATTTCGCATGAAGACATTTTCGGACTCAATTTCATTAATTTCATGGTTTATTTGTTCAATTTCCGCGGTGGATTCTTTAATTATATTGTCATATTTTGTAATTGCTTCTTTATTGCTCTTTAATATAACTGATTCATTAATCAAATCTTCTTGAGCTTTCTGTAAATGTTTTACACATTCATTCACTTGAGCTTTAGTGGAGACCAACTCTCCTTGAAGTTGATCAGCTTTTGCTATAGCAATCAACTTTTTCTTCTCGGCTAATTCAACACTGAGAATATCGAGAGTTTCAGATTGTTTATCAATCATATCAATAGTTGCTTGAGTGGCTTTGATACGACGTTTAACGCTAGCCGAATCAATAACCAGTCCACCGTTAAGACTGATCAAATTATTAATACGTCTTTTAATTCGATCTACAACCATCTCAGCTGGAACTGTCAGATTTGGTGTATAACCTTCACTGCCCAATCGTGATCGATATACGTGTACACGACGTTCGAGATGCTTTATAAGCGCGTCTTCATCCCTCAGCTCTGCATCTATTATTTTCTCAAGAACCTAAGATATGGAGTAATGAAATTTCGATATCATAGATTAACTTTAGTACTGAAAACTATTATCTATTTCAAAGTAGAAGATTTTCAACTGAAACTAGGTGGTTAAGTATACTCTTCCGATATGGTATATCGATTCTACGGCGCGCAACGCTTGGGCGCCGACAGGTGAGGGCAAGAGTGTGGGTGGAGATCAGGGTGGGTATTGATGAAGTTTAAGCAAACAATGATTACAGGTGGATATGAGTAATATAGGAAAAGCTTTCACACCGTATCAAGTTTGTTTAAAAGAAAATTGTATCATTATACATCATCCTTTAATAAATGCACTCTTATTCAATGCTGGTGTCATGCATGCGGCTAAATGTCGTTCGCGCCCTACTGTTGTGGCATCCAAATGTCGCGCGCGCACAAGTGTCGGCGCCCAAACGTCTGGTGATCGTCCGATATACCACTTGAAAATCTTAGATTATCAAACCTTCTTCGCCCGTCGATGCAAAGGCAGATCGCCTATAGTTCTTACTACAGACTGCTAAAAATTGTATGTTTCAAGCATTTTTCGTTGATGAGATATCCGAAGATGTTTTCTCAAGTGGATAATACGTACCAAAACTGTTTCAATATCTGCTGTATACTGTAATTTCTTCTTCTTGATATCTCGTTTTGTTTGTTCAACTTCATATTCGGCAATACGAACTTGTTCAACGCGTAAAAATTGAAATAAATCATCACGTAAAATTCTTTTCCAATTTGAACGTAATCTTGACCATCCTTGATTAGAAACTAGAAAAATACAAGTTTAAATTAGTTAGCTCGTCGATTTGAGAATGAGCATCCTCCAGAGAAGTAACGGTATTCACCGTACCCTCTGATCATAAGAAATGTTTCGCACCTGTACTAGAAAACAGTTTACTGTAACGTCTTGCGTCGGCGGGCAGTTTAACGGAGACAACAATTGGCGGATTCACAGTTATTGGATCTTCTTCTTCGTCAATCACTTTGTCTAAGTTCCGGCTCGAAATGCTAGTGGAACTATTAACACGAGTAAGGAACTGTTCGAAGAGCAAATTTTCTTGCTTTAATAAAGTACATTCTCCCCTAATAAAATTTAATAACAGCAGTGAAGAAAAAGACAGATGATCGTGAACTTAGACTCTTCTCTTTCTCTTCTTAGAAAACACATACTTGACTTTTTCGAATTCTCGAAATAATCGATCCTGACTAGTGTCTTCAACAGTGAGATCGATTGATTGTGATCGGTAAAACTCGCGCCAAAATGGGCGTTTTGTAGGAATTTCTAACTCTGAATCAGAAAATCGTTTTGCTTCAACAGGATGTCTTTTTGATGTATCTGGACGCCGTTGATTGATCATGTTAAAATAGTATGAAGTGAAAAATAATATTTCTCTTTCAAACTGTCAAAAGTTAAGAGCAAAAGTTGTTCTTGTCATTGCTAAGTGATAAAAGGTAGATAATAGCGAGAATAAGAAATACAGATATATTAAGTAAATAATGAAAAATTACGGTGTTTTGTGCTTGTCAAACATTGATTCAGTCATGAAAGTTGTTGGTAGAACAGTTGGAAATAAGTATTTGTAAATCGAATATAGATGCTATGAATTCATAGCAGTTCTATATTCGATTTACAAATATTGATTCAGTCGTTCTACAGAGAAGAAACGGTCAATGAAACAGTGAAAGACTATAAACTACCACTTCAAAAAAATATTAATAAAAAAAGAAACAGAAAATAATCATTCACATATGTAGAAACGTTTTTCTATAACTAATTAGATATGTTTTCTTTCTCATTTAGTATGTGTATGATCAATCACAAGTAAAAAATGTTCTACGGAGAAAATCTAGTTCAATTTACCACATAACCGGGGGGGTTATTGATTTGATGGATCTAGCTAAGTGTACCTTTTAACCTACTTAGCTAACTTTAACCTAGTAGCGAACCAAGAACTGGGTTAACATAATCGAGCAGGAGCAAGAGATTGACATTTAGGTTAACCGCACCGTTAGCCGCGGTTTAGCCAGGTCGGAAGTAGAAATACATTTGATAAGAAGGCTGTCAACCAAGTTAACCGCTCGATTAGAGTGCCCGATTAGTCGGGCACTCTAAGCTTTCGAAAAAATTTTAAAAAGAAGTGCGCCTAACGGGAATCAACTCGCAGACTAACGCGCTCAGGAATAAGAATCGAAGTACGACGCTTTAATCAATGAAGCTACCAGGCCCACATTTGCTAGTTAATGAGTGATGAAATTATCTAGAAGATATTTTAAAGATTCGGTTAAAGCTTTGAAATTATAAGAAAGTCCTTCCAAAATATTTCTTTCCTAACAAAAAGAAACCTTGTCAGGTCAGCCCCTTATGTGGGCTAAAAATTAGACCAAAACAGGGTTTTGAGTATAATACTTCATTCCTTCTCCTTTGGAGATACTGAAAAAGTTTCACAAAAGATAGTGAGCTGTCCTGATACTTGATTGGAAAAAAGGATTTTTTTTTGACGAGTAAGTACATAATATGTTTGAACGAAAGAGAGAATTACTATCGAATCACCGACTATTCCGCGAATGTCTCTTCCGCGATCGACTCCTCTGCGAACAGGACTCCGACTATTCCGCGAATAGCTGACAAAATATTTTTTTCCCTTTTTCTGTACTTTTCTTTGATTTCAAGAAAAACTCATATGTAACTCATAATCTCTGATAAAAACTGAATCAGAATTATTATTGAATGGAAATTATCAGGTGTACACAACTCAGTCGCTGCTGTCTTGATTGTATGTCTTATATAACTACGGTGACTTTCTTATGAGACACGACTATTAAACGAACCGACTCTTCCGCGAACAGGATCCAGACTCTTTAGCCGCCTTTTTTCAATCGACTTTAAGCAAATAAACAAAACAACAGGTTTTACTGAACGTAGCTGTTAAAAAACTTTTAAAATACTTTCAATTAAGGGTTGTTTCTGACCGTTAGAATTTTCATAACTCAGGAAGGAAGAGAGACGGAACGCTAAAATTTTCAGCCTCTTATGTGCGAGAAATATTGTTTCCATGTCGAGACAATATAGTTAATCGTTCTTAATTTCCTACCGCATTAATTTAAACGAATTTGTGATTTTAGAATGGCTTAAATTGATTTGAAA